GTGGGGATGGGTGTTTTGGGGTCCTTTGACCCCCCAGACAGGTGGGGCCGGGTGTTTTGGGGTCCTTTGACCCCTCCCACTGTTGGGGACCCTCCCCTAATTCTCTGTTCCCCCCGCACAGGAGGGCACGTGGAGCCGGGAGAGGAGGTGAGGGGACACTCTGGGGACACCGTGGGGTGGGGTGGGGGTCCGGGAGGTCACAGGGACACTCAGGTGTCCCCCCCATGTCCCCCCCCCCTCCAGCTGGTGGCCGCGGGGCTGCGGGAACTGGCCGAGGAGACGGGGCTGACCCTGGAGCCCGGCACCTTCTCCTGCCGCCTGCTCGGACTCTGGGAGGTAACGACCCCCCCCGGCACCCGGGGGTGGGTGGGGGGTGACCCCCGACCCCCTCCCCAGCGCCCCACGGGACCCCCCCCGGTGCCCACAGTCGCTGTTCCCCCCCGTGCTGGCCCGGGGGCCACCGCGGAGCCACCACATTGTCGCCTACGTGGGGCTGCGCTCGGAGGAGCCGCGGCACCGGCTGCAGGTGGGGGGGCACGGGGGGCACGGGGGGGCTCGGGGGGCACAGGGGGCACGGGGAGGGCCCTCCTGGGGTTCGGGGAGTCACTCCTGGGTGAAGGGCTCTGCTGGGGTTGGGGTCCCTCTCTGGGTTGGGGTCTCTCCATGGGTGGGGGGCTCTGTTGCGGTTGGGGTCCCTCTCAGGGTGAGGGTCCCTCTCGAAGTGGGGGTCTCTTCATGGGTGGGGGTCCCTCCCCTGTGGGGGGGCTCTGCTGGGGTTGGGGTCCCTCTCTGGGTTGGGGTCCCTCTCTGGGCAGAAGTCTCTGCTGGGGTTGGGGTCCCTCTCAGGGTGGGGGTCTCTCTCTGGGTTGGGTTTTTTCATGGGTGGGGGTCCCTCCCCGGGTGGGAGGCTCTGCTGGGGTTGGGGTCCCTCTCTGGATGGGGGTCTCTTCATGGGTGGGGGTCCCTCTCTAGGTGAGGATTCCTCTCTGGGTGGGGTTTTTTCATGGGTGGGGGTCTCTCCTGGGTTTTGGGTCCCTCTCAGGGTGGGGATCTCTTCTGGGGTTGAGGTCCCTCTCTGGGCGGGGGTCTCTCCATGGGTGGGGGGCTCTGCTGGGGTTGGGGTCCCTCTCAGGGTTGGGGTCCCCCTGGGTGGGGAGCTCTTCATGGCCTTCCTCCATGAGTGGGGGTCCCTCTCAGGGTTGGGGTCCCTCTCAGGGTGGGGGTCTCTTCGTAGGTGGGTGTCCCTCCCTGGGTGGGGGTCCCTCTCTAGGTGAGGGTCCCTCTCTGGGTGGGGGTCTCTTCATGGGTGGGGGGCTCTGCTGGGGTTGGGGTCCCTCTCAGGGCAAGGGTCTCTTTATGGGGGGTGGGGTCCCTCCCCTGTGGGGGTCTCTGCTGGGGTTGGGGTCCCTCTCAGGGTGGGGGTCCTTCTGGGTGGGGGTGAGCCCCCCCGGGTGTGTGTCCCTCCCTTCTGGGGGTCCCTCTCAGGGTAGGGGTCGGTGTCCAGGCGCGGCTGCGGCCGAGCCCCCAGGAGGTCAGTGCCGTGGCCTGGCTGGAGCCGCCGCTCCTCGAGGCCATCGCGGCCACCGAGGACGGGAACGAGGCACCGGGAGCGGGATTGGGACCGGGAGCAGGACCGGGAATGGGATCAGGACCGGGAATGGGATCAGGACCAGGAATGGTCCCTGGAGCGCTGCCAGACACCGTGGGGTGAGACACACCCCGAGACCCCCCCTGGGATGTCCAACCCCTCCCTTTCCCCCTGGCCCCGTCCCTGATCCCATTCCCTGCCCCAGGATCCTGGAGCTCAGCGCCGGAGGCCTCCGGAGCACCCACATTCCCAGCGGGATCCTCCTGCGGCGGCTCCCGGCCCACGGCCCCGACCTGGAGCGCGTCAGCACCGGCACCAAATTCGCCCTGGGGAGGTGGCGGGGGGGGGACCCGGAATAAAGAGATTCCCGCGGGATCGGAGTCCGTGCTGGGGTGGGATGAGTGGGAACACGGGAATGGGCCGGGGGGGTTCTCGTGGTTTAGGGGGGATTCCAGGGGAATGGAGCGGGATACGGATCCCCTGGAGCTGGTGGGGTGGGGACACGGCACAGGACAGGGGATTGGGACATGGGATGGGACATGGCACAGGATGTGGGATTGGGACATGGGATGGGGACAGGGAGGGGGACACAGGGCGTGACAAGAGATTGGGGCACGGAATGGGACACGGGATGGGACATGGAATGGGACATGGGATGGGATACAGGATGGGACATGGGATGAGACATGGAATGGTACATGGGATGAGACATAGGATGGGACATGGAATGGGACACGGGATGGGACATGGGATGGGGACATGGGATGGGACATGGAATGGGACACGGGATGAGACATGGGATCAGGACACTGGAGGACTTGGGATGGGACATGGAATGGGGCACAGGATTAGGACACGGGATGAGGACAAGGAATGGGACACAGGAGAGGGATGTGGGACAAGGACACGGGATAAGGACGCAGAATGGAAACATGGAAGAGGACATGGAATGAGACATGGAATGGGCCATGTTTTCCCAGTTTCCCGTTCAGTGGCACGTTCCCGCTCCCGCCTGGTCCCGCAGGATCCGCAGCAGTGCCGCGTGGACACCGGCATCCATGAATCCCTGCGGAGGAGTGGCCGGGCTGATCCCTGCTCCCCCCGGGAGTGTCCCTGTCCCTGATCCCTGATCCCTGCTCCCCCTGGGAACCCGGGAGTGTCCCTGTCCCTGTTCCCTGCTCCCCCCGGGCACCCAGGAGTGTCCCTGATCCCCCTGGGAACCTGGGAATGTCCCTGTCCCTGATCCCTGCTCCCCCTGGGAACCCGGGAGTGTCCCTGTCCCTGTTCCCTGCTCCCCCCTGGGCACCCGGGAGTGTCCCTGTCCCTGTTCCCTGTTCCCCCCGGGCACCCAGGAGTGTCCCTGTCCCCTCCTTCCCCCTGGGCACCCAAGATTGTCCCTGTCCCTGTTCCTGTCCCCTCATCCCACCTGGGTGCCCAGAATTGCCCCTGGGACACCACCTGGGCACCCAGGATTGTCCCTGTCCCCTCATCCCCCCTGGGCACCTAGGATTGTCCCTGTCCCTATTCCCAGGACACCACCTGGGCACCCAGGATTGTCCCTGTCCCCTGGTCTCACCTGGGCATCCAGGATTGTCCCTGTCCCTGTTCCCTCCTCCCCTCTGGGCACCCGGGAGTGTCCCTGTCCCCTGTCCCTGTCCCTATTCCCTCCTCCCCCCAGGCACCCAGGATTCCAGGATTGTCCCTGTCCCACCTGTGCAGCCCGCAGGAGGTGTGTCCTGTACACGGCCACCGTGTCCCGGTGCTGCTTCTGCTGCACCTGCCAGGGAGGGGACACCGGGGACAGCGGGTGACACCGGGGACATGGGGGGGACACTGATATGGGGTGACACAGGGTGACACCGGGGGATGGGGTGACACACCAGGTGACAAAGGGTGACATGGGGTGACATGGTATGTCCTGGGGTGACACTGGGTGATACCAGAGGACATGAGGTGACACTGGGTGACATGGGGTGACACAGGGTGACACCGCGCAACAGGAG